AGGCTGGACAGATGGACGGAGACACAGGGAACCCACGCGGGGTCACGGGGCCTTTCTGTCTCTTGCCCAGCTCCGAGCAGGTAGAGGCACGTGGGTGTGCGTGCCTGTGTTCACCAAGACACGTGTGTTTGCGGGGGAGCCTCCGTCTTTCTGTAGGGAGGTCGCTGTGGTTTCCCTGCTCTCCGCGGCCCTCTCAGGGCCTGTGGGTCACAGCCACCGGGCGTCGACCCCATCATCCCATCGGCCACCAGCCAGGCATCCGGATGCTTCCGGCTCCTCCCGCAGGCTCCTCCCGGCCCTGACCTGGGCCTCCAGGCCACACCTGGCGGGGAGGCGAGTGCCGGAGCAGGGGCAAAGCAGGAGGGAAGATGAGTGGCCTTGGGCCTCAGGCCTTGGCTGCGGCCTCAGACACTCCCTGGGCCGCGAGCTCGGCCAGCACGTTGTCCAGGTAGCTGGCGTCCGGGTAGCCGTGGCCCGTCAGGTTGGACCCAAACTCCGTCTTGTGGTGGATCTCGTTCCACACCACAGTGTCCGACTCGCCCGTGGTGTTGGACGTGCCGATGGTGAAGATGAGTCTCCTCTCCCAGGCTGTGATGAGCCGTCGCAGCACCTGGGGGGCCGGGCGGGAGTCAAGGCATCCCCGCCCCCACCCCAGCCCACCGCCGCCAGCCCCCCTCCCTCCCTCCCCGCCGCATCCACCAGGCACTATGCGGCGTGGCCGTTTCTCCCCATTTGTGTTTCCTGCACCCACGTCCCTTCTGAGCTCCCTCAAGGAAAGCCCTTTCCAAGTCAGCCGCGCCTTTTGTTCTGGGGTCAAGAAAGCACCTCAGACTGCAGCCAGTCGCTGGGTTTGATTTGGACCCCATGCTGGAGTAAACAACCACTTGTGCATTAGTGGCCTATGTTGCCAGGCCTGGAGATTTCACATGAAAATCTGACTTTCTGGATTCTCTTGAAAAGCAACAAGTGACATCAGGAAACCTGTGGTGTGGTGGCGAAAAGCTTGGAATGCTTGGGTTCAAGTCACTTAGTCCCTCTGGGACTGTGGGCAAGTGACTTGCCCTCTCTGAGCTTTCATTTCTGTTTTTATTATTATTATTATTATTATTATTATTATTATAAATAGGGAGAGACAGAGTCTGGCACTGTCTCCCAGGCTGGAGTACAGCGGTGTGATCATAGCTCACTGCAGCCTTGAACTCCTGGCCTCAGGCCATCCTCCTACCTCAGCCCTCCCAGCTAATTTATTCTGTTTTTGTAGAGATAGGGCCTTGCTATGTTGCCCAGGCTGGTGTGGAACTCCTGGCCTCAAGTGATCCCAGCCTCCTAAAGCTCTGGGATTAAAAGCGTAAGGCACTGTGGCTCGCCCTGAGACTTCATTTTTTAAAAATCAAGGCCTTGACCTCAGTGGGCTGGGACCTGAGATGACGCGTGTGGAGTCTGTGTTACGGTCACGGCTGTTTGAATGCTGGCTTGGAGAGGATTGTGAGAGCAGGGATTGAGGCAGCGGGGAACACCGGGCCCTGCCTGTGTCCCATCCCCATGTCCCTCCCCTGCGTCCACCCCTCACAGCTGCACCCACCTTCCGGCCCTTCTCGTTGTTGGGCAGGTAGCAGTGTCGCGGGAAGCCTCTGGCAGTGAACTTCTTCCCCGGGTTGGGATGCTCAGGGCCCTGGTGGGGACAGCAAGGCATCAACCGTGAACAGGTGGTGGGGAGGGGGCTCCAGAGGGGTCAGGGGCCAGCGGCTGGCGGCACCCACCTGGATGCCTGTGGGGATGTCGTAGACGATGCGGATGGTCTGCGTGTCGGCGAAGCCGGGCAGAGAGTGTGGGATGAGGTGGAACTCCATCTTCCCGGGCGGCTGCGTCCCTGTCTTCTCCCCGTAGATGGCCTTGCAGGTGGGACACTGCAGACTGCCATCCTGGGTGCAGAGCCGGGGGTGAATCCCGGTGCCCGACGCTGCTGGGACACTGCCCGCTCCTGCCCGCTCCCTGCCCCGCCCGCCCACCTTGTTGCCATTGGAGTACATGGCCACGAGGCACAGCAGGTGGTACATATGGCCACAGCGGCCCAGGCGGCCCACCAGCTCAGGCCGCACGCCCTTGTGCCGGAGCACGCCCTCGTAGCCGGATGCCGTGACCAGCCGCTCCATGCAAATGGTGCAGTCCTGGAGAGGGAAAGAGGGAGGCTGAGGACCGGGGCCAGGGCACCTGTGGGTCAGCACTGCCCCTCTGCGGGGCCAGGCCTGAGGCCACCACGGGCAGCAGACCACCCGCTCTCTGGCACCCATTTGGCAAAAGGAGAGAAGACACCCCCTTCCGTGTGTTGCTGTTTTTTTTTTTAGAGAAGGGGTCTCTCTCTCTGTCACCCAGCCTGGAGTGCAGTGGCACAATCGTGGCTCACTGCAGCCTCAACCTCCTGGCCTAAAGCAACCCTCCCGCCTCAGTCTCCCAAAGTGCTGGGATTACAGGTGTGAGCCACCACACCCTGTCCCTTCTCATATATTGAGTTCAGATAGATCACAGAGGAAGAGACGGTACCTTCATCTCTCATCTCCCTCCAAAAGGAGCTGTTAAAGTTAAGTTAGAGGCTTAACCAGCAAAGGCAAAACTTAGAGCTATTTAGTGGGAAAACTGGGTGAAAACAGAACACAGAAACAATCATCAAAAGATTAATAAATGTGGCTTTTTTTTTTTTTTTGAGTTGGGCTGCCACCCAGGCTGAAGTGTAGGGACACAATTACACCTCACTGCAGCCTCAACCTTCCGGGCTCAGGCGATCCTTCTGCCTCAACCTCCTGAGTAGCTGGGGCTTCAGAAGTGCACCACTATGTCCAGCAAGCTGTATTTATTTATTTGTTTTTGTAGAGATGAGATATCACTAGGTCGCCCAGGCTGGTCTCAAACTCCTGGGTTCAAGCAATCCTCTCACCTTGGCCTCTCAAAGTGTTGGGATTACAGGTATGAGCCACCTCACCTGGCCTCGTAACTCTTTTTTTTTTTTAGGTTAGAGAAAACAGTTTATTTGGGAAGTAAATGAGTGAGAGGGAGCGATATGGGATTCACCTCCCTGAGGTAGGGGAGGGGGGCCAAAGCCAGGAAACATGGCAGCAGCCATAGCTCAAAGAGCACATGGCCGCACCACAGTCTAGTAAGGCAATGGCCGCAGCGGCCTGGCAATGGCTGTAACTCTTTTTTTTTTTTCTTGAGTTGGAGTCTCACTCTGTCACCCAGACTGGAGTGTAGGGTCTGCTCCCGGCCACTGCAGCCTCGACCTGCTGGGTTCCGGCGATCCTTCCGCCTCAGGCTTCCAAGTAGCCGGAATTACAGGCGCGCGCTACCACGCCTGGCTAATTTTTTATTTATTGTAGAGACGAGGTCTCGCCAAGTTGCCCAGGCGGGTCTCGAACCCGCGGGCTCAGGCAATCCACTCACCTCAGCCTCCCAAAGGCGTGGGATTACAGGCTGAGCCGCCGAGCCCGGCTTGTAACTCTTAAATATAAGCGTTCTGTTCCTCAAAAGGCCTCTTAAGAGAGGACGGATATGGCCCAGGGCCCCGAGGAGCCACGAGGACCAGTCTCTGCAGGAGAGGCCCCGCCCGCCCCCCTCCCCGGGGCTCACCTCGTCCGGGGGGTTTTTCACCTTCTGCATGTACCTCCGAACCACGTCCTCCGGGTTCTTACCTGCAGGGACACAGAGGGGGGTTGGGCGCCCGGCGTCCGGCCCCGAGGCCTTGGCTCAGGGCGGGGTCAGAGGAGCGGGG